CCCTCTGTCCTGCCTTCATCTAGGCTGCAGTGAGATTATACACACAGGTTTCTCCCCCCACCCTCCCCTTATTGACACACAGATCCTAAAACCCTTTCAATCTCCTGGTGATAGGAGTGTCCTTTGCTCTAACGAGGTGGCTCTGGGTATCTCCTGGATGAGGGCGGGTTGCCAGAAGGAGCAAACCATAATGAGAAGCTGGAATTTTTAGCCCTGCCCCCCATTTTCTTGAAGAAGGGGAAGTTAATTATCAGCCATGCCTACAAAAATCCCAAAAGATGGGTTCAGAGAGCTTCCAGGTGGGCAAGCACATCTGTACTGGGTGCACAACACAGCCCAACTCCATGGAGACAACAGCTCCTGCACTTGGCTGCTCGCCTGAACCCTTTATCAAATCCTTTAGTGAACTGGTAAACCTAAGTAAGCATCCCTGAGCTCTGAGCCTCTCTAGAAAATTAACTGAATCCAAGAAGAGGGTCACTGGAACCTCTAATCTGTAGCCCATTGGTCAGAAGCATAGGTGTCTGGCTGGTGAATGGCACCTGAAGTATGAGGGGGTGAAGGGGTGGGGGAGGGGGGAGGTGTCTTGTGGGACTAAACCCTTAACCTGTGGGATCTGATGTTATCTCCAGGAAGACAGCGTCAGAACTGAGTTAATTGTGGGACACCCAGATGGTGTTACACAGAATTGCTTGGTGTGAAAGAAAAACACCTCCAAACGTTTGGTGACCAGAAGGGTCAGAAGTAGTGTTTGGTATGAGCAGTAAAGAAGACTCACAGGGAGGAAACACACAGGAAGGAAGGACTGGGCTTTCCCCCACATAGGAAGGAAACTTTAGAAAAGGCAAAGTCAAAAAACTGTTTCCCCATCCAGTCCTTTGGCCTCATCTCATCCATTCAGGCTGCTATAACAAGATACTACAGACTGAGTGGCTTAACCAACAAACAGTTCTCACTGTTCTGCAGGCTGCAAGCCTGAGATCGGTGTGGTCACGTTCTCAGTGAGGGCCCTCTTCCGGTTTGCAGACAGCCACTTTCTCCCTATACCCTCACATGAAGAAAGAGAGCATCTCTCTGGTGCCACCTCTAGAATCACACTAATCCCATCATGGGGGCCTCCCTCTCCTCACCTCACATAAACCAAATCACCTCCCATAGTTCTCACCTCCAAATACCCTCACAAATCGAGTAAGGGCTTCAACGTAAGAATTTGAGGGAGACACAACATTCAGTCCAGAGCATCTTCCTCTTATCAAGACCCCCTCCTATCTGGTTTTTCCTTGGAGTTCCATGACTGTCACAGGCCTGTGCATGATGGTACTTTGCCACTGTGGCTGCTCTGGGAGTGCACAGCAAGGGGATTTTGCAGCCTCTACCTCTAGAGTACCTCTCTGTCCCACCCCCTGACCACATACACTACCAATCCTGGGTCAACACCATGAGAGAAGGCAAAAGGCTTCAATGAACAATGTAGCAATCTGCCCACAAACCAACTTCCTCTCAAGCTCTCTGGTCATAAAACATCCTGTTGAACAGCAGTTCTCAACCTGTGGGTCGCGACCCCTTTGGGAGTCGAATGACCCTTTCACAGGGGTCACCTAAGACATATATAATCACATATTGTTTTGTGATTAATCACTATGCTTTAATTATGTTCAATTTGTAACATGAAATTGGGGGTCACCACAACATGAGGAACTGTATTAAAGGGTCGCGGCATTAGGAAGGTTGAGAACCACTGCTGTAGAATGTCAATGGTCATATGTCCAGGTTAATTAGAAACATTCATCATTGACACATCCAGCCCTAGTCTATGCAATCAACACGGGGCTAAGCCATGGTCCACTGTGCAGGATGCTTCCGTGTTGTGGGGCTGGCTGACCTGGCCTCCGCTCACTAGATGCTGGTAGCACCTCCCCAGCTGAGGAAACTAAAAATGTTCCAGACAGTGTCAAATGTTCCCTCGGGGGCAAACTCTCCCAGAGGAGGAGCGCTGGGCTGAACTGCAGGAGGGCTTCCATGGCAGAAAGCCTTCCAGGGAGCTTTCACAGGTGGTGTGCTCTCTTCTCTCCACCCCCACTTCACTCCACATCACGTTCTCTCTCTCTTCAGGGTATCTCTACCACCATGATCCGGGTGCCTATGGCTTCCTCCCCATTCTCTCCTGAGGGTCAGCAGAGAACAGACTCTCCACTAAAGCTCTAAGGTTCTTCCAGTCCACACAGTATCACCTGTTCTGGTTCCTAAAGGTGCTTGTCTGCGGACCATTCATTCAACAAACATTTTCTGAGCCTTCTTGTACAGCTGCGCCAGCCCTTGAACACCACGGGGAGCCAGCACAGACCTGAACAGCACATGTCCTAGGAGAGCATGGAAGTCACAGGCAGACATTGTTGCTACAAGGTGCGGGGCAAGTGAAAAGCACTGTGGACACTTGGGGGTTAAGTGCCAGACTCTGGGCTTGAGGGAGTCGAGGGAGGAGTAAATGTCCCCCAGAGAGGTGATGTTCAACTACTTCTTAAAAGGCCAGTAGGAATCAGCGAGACAGACAGAGCAGGGAGGGCATTCCTTAAGGACACGATGGAGGGGAGCCCACATTCTCAGAAAAGCAGGCTGGAGGCCACTGCGCAGTGAAGGAAGCAGGAGGAACAAACAGCATGGCAAATGTAGTTGGAAAGCCAGAAGCCTAGAGAATTCACCACATGCTCAGCTGGCATCTGACTCACTTTAACAGCCCACTCGTAACAGCAAAAGGTCACTGCACCAACTCATACATCCTGAGGGGCATGTCTCCCACCAAACACCCCCCTTCCTATAGCTTTCTCATTTGGGCCCCTCCAAGCACATGCTGTGCTGCACTCCTGACCAACCAACCCCCCGCCCTTCACGTAAGGGGCTGGGGGCCTGTAGCTAGGCTACAACTGCTATCTCTAGTTACCCACCTCGGAGGGTGCCGGGGTCCAACCCCAGCGGGTCCAGGGGTCCCCAAAGGTGTGGACGGAGTCGGCGAAGAAGGAAGGACTTGGAGCCAGCATTCAGTTGATCAGCATAACCAAGTTCTGTAGCCAGGTCAGCAGCCCATCCAGGATCTCCAGCCAAGTTCTGGTCTGGATCTCCAGCGAAGTTCTGCTTAGGATCTCCAGCCAGGTTCTGTGTCCATGTTCTCTTGCTAGGTTCTCCAGGTTCTCCAGCCAGGTTCTGTAGCCATGTTCCCTTGCTAGGTTCTCCAGCCAGGTTCTGTCCAGGTTCTCCAGCCAGGTTCAGTCACCAGGTTCTAGTCAGGTTCTCTTGCCAATTTCTGTAGTCAGGTTCAGTCCAGGATCTTTTGCCATGTTCTCTCCAGCGAAGTTCTTCTGTCTGTAGGTTCTGTGTAGGTTCTGTCCTCTTAGTTCTGTGTTCTAAGCTCTGTATTCTAAGTTCTGACTTGTTACATCTGTATTTATACCAGTTGATTCCAATCCTATCAATCTCTATTCCAAAGGTTAGGGCGTTTCTTATCTCCATTCCAGGGAGTAAAGATTATGTAGCTTAAGCGTGATTGTTCGTAGTTAAAGTGATTAATTACCCGCCTGGTACTTAGTTAAGAGGTTTTATTCCCTCCCTAACTTCAGGGGAAAATCCCTACCTGGGGAAACAGCCTTTCTCAGAGACCTTGGTTAAAACACATAGTGCCAAGAAGGTGAGCAAACATATTAAGAACAGTATGCCATATATGCCAGGTTCCTTGAAACAGCAAGCATGGACCAGCTCCCGGCAGGAGGGGAGTTCTCCTAGACAAAAAACAAGCACCTAATGCAAACACGGCGGGACAGAGAGCCCGTGAAGAAGGTGGTGGTAGTGGTGCTCAAATCTTCTGCTTCTGCTTATCAAATCATGATAAACCTACCATGTGAAGGCTTTATACATGCTGTTCCCTCTGCCTGGAATGCAGTTTGCTCCCCATTCCTACCTCTGCCCTCACTGCTTCTCCAAGTTCATTCCCTCCTCATCCTCTCCTTTCAAACAAGACTTCTTTTACTGATGACCTACTTCAGACCCCTGGTAGATGCTCTTGCTTTTCCTTCAGCTCCTTAGTATAACTGTAATTAAATAAGCAATTGTGCGTTGTCCTCCACCAGACTGTTATCTCCAAACAAACAAGCCTACAGCAGTCTTAGGCACCACATCTCCAGGTGGGTCTGCCCAGGCATCACTCCCAGTACAACCAAGCAGGTTATTAAACTGCTGTGATACTTCTCTGCTGGTTGGTAAACAGATATTGTGCCTAACCCACTGCATGCCTTCCCCAGGACCTAGACTCAGTCCAAACTTTGCAATGACTTTTCCTAAATGGGTTTCATTATACTTCCTGCGTACACAGTGCAGTAATGGGCTAACCTGAGGTTTTGAACTGTTGTCTTTTATCTATGGCTTAATAGAATTGGAAAAGCTGTGGGGTTTTTTTTTTCTACAACAAACTTTCTTTTTTTAAAACCTAATATTATAAATACAGGAATGGGAGAGGGAGGGGAGCAATGGTCAGAGGGTTTTAACATGCATTCATGTTTACATGTCTAATTAGAAAATTGCTTTTAAAAACTTTTTTTGTAGCCCAGCTGGTGTGGCTCAATGGTTGAGCATCAGCCCACAAACCAGGAAGTCACTGATTTGATTCCCAGTCAAGGCATATGCCTGGGTTTGGGGCTTGATCCCCAGTGGGGGATGTATAGGAGGCAACCTATTGACTTTTCTCTCTCATAAATGTTTCTCTATATATCCATCTCCCTTTCTCTCTCTCTCTCAAATCAATAAAAATATACTTTAAAACACTTTTTTATACATGCATGGAGTAGGTCGGGAAGAATATACACAATATAGGTAAAGTGGGTGCTCCAAGAAGCAGAGTTGGAGGATCAGGGGATGGAGAAAGAGGGAGATTAGCATCTTATAGTTTAATCTTTTGGATCTTTGAACTTTGAATCACACGCAAAAAATAAACAAATAAAACAAATTTTTAAAACTTAAATTTTAAAAGTATGTAAGTAAAATTTAATTGTAAAATGAAAGCAAAATACAGACATGTTCTTTTTTAAAAGTCTAACACTACAGTAGAATATAAAGTGAAAATAAGTTTTCCCCTCTCCAACCCTGGCCATTCCCTAAATAAAATAATTGTAAACAGTTTCTTATGTAACTTTCAGGAATATCTTTTTAAAATAATTAACCCAAGTGGGGTCATGCTGTACATTCTATTTCACATCTACATTTTCCACTTAATATATCTTGGATATATTTCCATATCAGCATATGCAAATTCAAATGATAGTTTTACAAGTTGCATAAGATTACACTGTGTTATCATGGCACAATTCACACACCCACTCCCCTGTACATAGACACTGGTGGTGTTTCCGGGTATGCAATGTTATAACTAATGCTGCGGTAAACAGTTGTGCCACGAGGGCCCAATAAACCCCAGGTGTGGAGCTAGAGGGGTGAAAGGTGGGTGTGATTTTCACTTCAGTTGCTCTTGCTGAATTGTTGGGCCATAATCATTCTGTGGTTTATTTTCTCCATTGGTCAATCAGGAACTATTGATAAGCTATCAGGTTACTTTTGTAAAAGGCTTGGCTAGCCTGAGAAATATAAAGCAGGATCATTTTAGGTGACATCCGGTCAAAGGCTTTGTGTTCATGCAAAGTTCCAATCCAGAACTGTGTCTGCCGTGTCCAGGAGAGTCTTGTATTTTCCTCCTAAAGTCACTTTGAGAGTAAAAGGGTATTGTCACAAGTAGGCTGTGAGAGACAGAAGGCCAACCCACAGGCAACGGGTCTCTGTGAAGGCAGCAATGGAAAGTAAAAGAAAATTCCAGCTCCAAAGCCTGGACCTTTGGGAAAATCCAAGAAAGCTGGGATTTCTGCTGCTTTTCTCTTTACCCTGCTCTATCATGAGTTCCCATGATAACATGCCACGCCTCACTGCAGTTTTATCTTTGAAAACTTCCTTCCTCTAACCACAGCAAATGCAGGAGACAGGCTCGAAGAGGACCCTCTCGCCTCTCAAAGTCACTTTAGAACTTGCTTAGCACCCACCCCCTAATGAACATCGGCACCAGAACTCTCTGCAGTGAGGACATCACGCTCTGTGCTGTCCAGTGCGGGAGACACGGGCCACCTGTGACCACGAGCACTGGGAAAGTGGCTAGTGCCACTGAGGGGCTGAGTTTCTCATTTTATTTTCAACACTTTAAACATAAGTAGTCACATGTGGCTGGTGTCCACTGTCTTAGGCAGAGCAGCTGTAATGGTTTAAAGTACAGGTGACCCTTTAGTCCTGGTCCCTCTCAATCAGCCCATTTAAAAAGACAAACGAGAGGGGTGAGGGGAACGGGACATCTGTAATACTTCAACAACAGAGATAAATTAAAAATAATAAAATTACATAAAAATAAAAAGACAAATGATCACATCACAGATAAATGTACAGCAATGAATACTCCAGGGGCCAAAATGCTGATCGTGACCTTCGATAGGCATTGCTCCTGTCTGGCTGCATGCTGCTGCACCCCAGAAACCAGACAGGAGCACGCCACTGTGTGCTGGGGCTGGGGAAGAAGGGACTCTCATTCCTCCTTGCATAAGATGCTGAGGGAGCACATGTGGAGAGGAGGAAGTCAGGGAGCCTCCAGGGCAGCAGTGAGTTGAGCTCTGCCTCATTCCAAAACTTGACCCTGTAGATTTAGTACAGATGGCCCCAGCACTGGACATGCCCTCACCCCACCCCGTCCACAGTTGTACTCCCTCTATGCAAACCTAGACTCGGGAACCAGTGCATGTAGTGGTCACACACGAAGGAGCATAAATGAGTGTTAAAATGTTGAGGAACTGAGGATGCGATTACCTTTTTCACAAGGAGAACTGCTTGCAATCCCTCACAGACTTTTATCATATCTTGCAACTCCCTGAGACAAGTTCCCAAGCCTCAGAGAAAAATCAGTACCATCTATGAATATAAAATTATACCTTATCAAAAAGAGGGCGAAAAAATTTTAATTGTAAAACATGAATGACTTGTCTCTTAATGATAACATATTAATTATAATATATAACATTGTATATGAAATACATTATGCACGTTGGACATAATATTAATATATTAATCTACACTACTGAGCACTTAGCATGGACAAGACATATATATTATTTATATTATTTTAACCTTTACCACATACCACCCTGGGAAATGAGCACCACTGTTACCATTTTACAGATGAGGAAACTGAGGCTCAGTGTCCAAGTACTGACCTAGGATCCTAACCCAGAGCTCCTGAGTTCTGAAGACCATGCATTCGTGGTTTCTCGCAGCCTCACGGAGGTGCTATAAACTCTATTTCACTCTGGGAATGAGCCCTCATCATTGCAGTGTCCCACACATACCTCAGCACAGTGGTGAACATCTGGCCTCAGCATAACCCCCTGAACCAGGCTCTGGGGTTACAGATGTGTGGGAATTGGTACTAAGGTGAAGTTGGGAGTGGTGATGTTCTGAGAGCAGAATTGCTAACCCAGATACAAGGTATTAATTTGTTATAATTAATATTTTTGGAGATGATACAGACACAGATTACTATCTCATAAGTAGACATGATTTCACATCAGTGAATGAGAACAGAATCATAGGCACAGAGGCCAGTCTGCATTCTTGACTTCTAGAGACACCATCTCAGCAATCACTTGGGAATGAACTGTTCCAGATGTTTTAGGTAGAAGATTAGAGATAGATTACCCGAACTTTACTCATATTTTATTATCTGGACACTCTATAATCGGATCAATTCAAGCAGCAATACCTAGGCAAAGGAGAGGGAGGACCTCAGAAATTAAAGATTGAAAATAAAAGATCACCTGTCTCTGTCACTGCAAATGGAGTTGGGTGTGCCTGCATCTGAGGAAGTCAGACAGTGCAGCATGGCTGCCCTGAGCAGACCTACCCAGCAGGGGCTCCGACTCTGAACCCTCTTCAGCAACACCACTGCAGGAGAGAGGACAGTCTGTCTGTCTGTCTGTCTCAAAAAAATGCAAAACTGCCCCCAGAGCCTTTTTTCATGGATGTGACAAATATCCCATCTGCATTTCAGGAGTTTTCATTTATGGTGAAGCTGAGTACTGATGAGGGTGCTGTTTCTGGAGCATTTGCTATGTGCTGGGCACTGGACTGAGCACCTGGCACTTACTATCTCTTTTTATCTTCCCAGGAACCATACACTGAGTGGCCAGATTATTATGACCACCTGACTTTTGTAGGCAAATTAGCTATAATTTCGCGCTGAAGTTGCTAGAGGGCCAGACCATTATAAATAGGGAAGCAGGTTGTTTATCACGACAGTAGAAGTGGTGATTTTTTTCTGAAGATATGGGTAAATAACTCGATTTAACAGCCTTTGAACGTGTTAGATAATATTTCCTCACTTCACAGATGAGGAAGCACAGCTACTGAGCTAGTCAACTTCTCCATGGTCTCACCTGACCATTAATTCCCAATATGGCTATTCGTTCCTGGGGCAGGGGGATACTTTCAAAAAATACCCACATCTGTGCTCTACTCCCAGCGATTATAACTTGCTCTAGGATGCAGCCTGGGTGTGCGGAGTTTGAGAGCTCCCTGCGTGATTCTAACATACAGTCAAGATCGAGAACCTCTGAACTAAGACAAGTGGGGGACGTGGGATCTGAACCAGGTCTCTCTAATTCCGAGGCTATGATCTTAATTGATTACATATAGTTTCCTCCGTGCTGAAATGAAGAACGTTAGGAGCAAGGTAGCCATAATTATTATAGAAAATCCAAGCCAGGCCAACCCTTCCATTCCAAGCTGGCCAGGTCTTCCATGCAGTTCCAGGTTTTCCGAGTTAAGGGTTAACATGAGTTCCCTGTGAGCCACGCCCACCTCCTGGACTGTAATGGGATCAATCTCCAGATGACTGCTCTCCAGGCCTGCCCTTGGGCAGCACTCCTCATTTCTAGAAAACCAAGAGCCCTACTTCCTTGCATTCCAGGACTGGCTTGGTCTCCTGGCAGCAATTTTGCTAACAAATACTTTCAGAAATCAAAACCAGATATGTTTCCCATTAAATCCGAGAACAGCTTTCTATGTAAACAGTGCTTGGGTTATTACCCAAACAACCTTAGTTCATTTTAAGAAACGCAGAACCCTTTAAATACTTTAACATAAGTGCTTATGTTGTTATCCTTCAGTGCTTCGTTCAGCTTTGCCAGAACTGCCCTGGTGTGCCCCTGTCCTGCTCTCAGTGCATTCTCTACTCTCTTCTCTCCCCTACTGCCTCCCCAGTGACAGAGGGGAGCCACTGCCAACTATCGGGGTTTTCAGATGGCCAGGAATAAAAAGGATAGGTGTGGCCTGTTACACTGATTACTTCATCTGCTAATCTAAAAGTAATCAGACCATTCCGAAGAAGTCATTCCACGATCCACATCTGCCAGGTTTGTATAATGTCATTATATTATAAGCATTTCACATTAAGTCCTGTCCTCCCCACCACCTCTCCCACCCGGCTGCCTCCCCTACAGAGGCTGGGACAGGGCTGTGCCAGTGGCACCCTCAACAATGAGAGGGAAATGGGTTACAATCATGTCTGCGGCAAGCTCAGAGGTGCTCAGCAGACATCAGGAAATCTGGTCCTTTATGGAGACAAGCGTTGTGGAGGATCTGCAGGCTCGGGAGGCTGCCAGCCAGCACCTTTACCAGAACGCCGTTCCTCCCCCTACCTAACCTTCTCCTCCTCCCCCCTCCTCCCTTCTCCCTCCTCCCCCCTCCCTCTCCCCCCTCTTCTTCCCCCTCCCTCCTCCCTCTCCTCTTTGCCCTCTGATGGGGCTGAACTGTTTCTTTGGTATGTTTAGCCCCCATCACTGTGAGCAGAAGCCGATGAGTCACTGTTACCGATAAGTGTGCTGTTACAGGAGGACTGGTGTTCTTATTAATCAGGTTACCTTTGGGGGTGCACTTAATTAGAGGAGGTTGATCTTTACAGTGGAGTCGAGCAATGATTACAAGATAAACTCTGCACAAAGTATGAAATTGAAGAAAACTCTAAATTCAAGTGTTTTCTCCTTGATTCTCAGATAAGTGTTTCTCCGTGGGATGTGTCACTTACATGTGCTGCATTTCATTTTAAAGACATCTGTTGTCGGTAAGGATCTCAGAGCTGTCGTTTTCCGGGAAGCTTTTCACCAAAAGCCCCACCAGAAACCAGGGAAGACAGAGCCCATCTGTTTGTCTCCATAAAGGACCAGATTTCCTGATGTCTGCTGAGCACCACTTCTCATATTCACATATGAATATTCAAGAATTAATGTGCATCTCAATAGGTGCTGTGGCCATCATCTATTTGATCACAATAACCATGTGTGCACTTGTACTGGGCCCTTCATCTAAGAAGACCAAGATCCAACCCCATTTTTCCCTTTCAGAATATCCATAAAATTCCAATGATTTGGGAAAACAAGCTCTTTTCCAGAGGCAAAAGTAAATGGATCTTGTCCTCTGGCGATGCCTGGCTTTCTGCTCAGGGCTATGGTAGGAGAGAGGATTCCTAACGGCAAAGAAGCAGAGGCAATGACAGCTGGGTCTGGCGTCGCTGCTCTTCCTAACAAGCTCGCTTTCAAAAGAGAGGTAACATTTCTCCCTTATTCCTGCAGAACCAAGAGAGGAACTCTATAAGAAGACAGCTTAATGCTGCCACTAGAGCAAGGCGCAAACATAATAAAGTGCAGGTTGAATCTTGAAGGGGCCAGTAGCCTCAGGACCCATGTCACACAGCCCACCCTATGGGTTGCACAGTCCACATGTCCAACCCTTGGCCATCCTAAGCCTCCTGGGCTGGACCCCACAGCACAGGTCTGATCTCTTTAACAGAGCATCATAGCTTTAAGGAGGAGCCTCGATTAAAAGACAGACAAAGGGTAGTAAAAGGATGGTTGGGGGATGTCTGTTCAAGAGCAAAGGGGGAAAGTGATGCTGGCAGGGACCAAAACAGACTAGCCGAGGTGGAGGGGACCAAAAAGCCATTGCGCTGGAGTTCAGACCTACCACTCTGTCCACTTTGCTAACAAGCACAGCCCCGTTCCTAGCATCCTAACAAGACCATGAACTACATGTTAACAAAGCTACAACTCTTGGGTCTGTCACACAACAGGGAACAGGCTTTTGAAATACCCATATCATTAAATGAACTTTATTTCAAACCACCAAACACAGGTCTATTCCCCTGCAAGTCCCAAAATCAAATCCTAAGAACCAGCACTCCTGGGCTGCCCCAGGAGAACGAAGCCAAAACATCAAAGCAGAGACCTGTATGTGTTATAGCTCAGCAACCACGGTGGGGTGGTTACTTGTATCACCTGGTCGCCTTGATCGCTAAGCTGGAGGCTACAGCATGGGGAGGACCATCCTTCTGAAAATCCATTCAGCCCAGAAAGAGCCTGGGTGTGCAGCCCCAGGAGAGGAGGGTGAAGCCAAGAGATTCTGGGTGACGTCCTGAGAGTCAATCCAGGCCTGTGGCCACCTGCTAATCCCAGGGACAGTCTCCAGTAGTGTCAGAAGATACACGCCCCAAGCCTGGCAGCAAATCACACATGTAGGCGGCATCTACTCCCCAAACACATCTATGTAGGTGGCAGCCAGTTACAGCAGAGGAGGCCCTGCAAGGAAATGGGGGTCCTCAGAAGGAGGGTGAGGCCAACGGGACCCCACTAGCCCATCCTGCTGAGGGTGGCAAGTGCTGTTAGAGGCCGGAAGCACACATTTGAGCCTTTTCTCCTTTTACCGCTCGGCAGCAGCCTGTCCGTTATCCTCACCAGACCCTCTGCTGCCCACCTCCTAGGGGCCCAGCGCAGAAGTGGCTTTCCAAATTCTAGGCCTACCTGCTCTAGGTGTCAAAGTTTGTTGGCAAAAATTTGCTAATCTGAAAGGGAGTGTTGAAGGGATATTTGGGGAGCCTGTGTGCCCTCCTAGATACTAAAGTGAACAAAAGTCAAAGATTCGGTTAGGAGGTATAGCAGTCAGCTCGGGCTGCCATAACAAAGTACCACAGACAAGGCGGCTCAAATAACAGAAATGTTCTCTCTCAGGTCTGGAGGCTGGAAGTCCACGGTCAAGGTGTCAGCAGGGTTGGTTCCTCTGAGGGTTCTGAGGAAGTACCTGTTCCAGGCCCCTCTCTTTGGTGGTTTGCAGGCAATCTTTGGTGTTTCTTAGCTTGTAGATGTGTCACCCCAATCTCTGCCTTTATATTCACATGATGTTCTCCCTGCCCATGTGTCCATCTCCACATTTCCCCTTTTTAAAAGGATGCCAGTCATACTGGACTAAGTTCTACCCAATGACCTCATTTTAACCTCATTTTCCAAATAAGGTCACATTCTGAGCTATTGGGGGTTAGGACTCCAACATATCTTTTTTGTAGAGAGACACAATCCAACAGAATGGATGTTAGAGATTTTAAAAGTGCTCTGCCCAAGGAGAATCCTTCCACAGGTATATACTTATCCCAAACTCATCAAGTTGTACACACTAAAGATGTATAGCTTTTTACATGTCAAGCATCCCTCAATTAAGTGGTTTTTTAAAAATAAAATATGTCTAAAGTGAAAGAGGAAGAGAGAGAGAGAGAGAGAGAGAGAGAATGAATGAATATCCTTTGGTCCAATAGGTTTGAGAAATGTTCCCACGCTAGCCTAGAGATTCATTACTACAACACAGATTCACGAAGCACCTCCTCTCTGTCAGGCACTGAGCTCAGCTCTGAGACTCCAAAACAAAATAAAACCTGGTTGCTGCTGAGATAGTAGGTTTTTTTGAGTGGTGGGGGGAGAAGGGCACAACACTGTAAATGTCATTACTATGGCAGTGCTATGGCAGAGGTGTGCACAGATCCCTGGGAGCCCAGAAGAGAGAAACTTGCCTTAGCCTTGGAGAAGGGGAGGGTATAAGAGAAGGCTTTCTGGAGGAGAAAACTAGCTGGGTTTTAAAGAGTGCATAGGAGGTTGCCAGTCAAGGTCATAGGGACAGACACTCTAATCAAGAGAGTAAAGAGAACTGGGGTATGAGACAGCATACATTTAAAGCAGCATCACAAGCTGACTCCTCGGTGACTGAGAACAAGGCAAGCGAGGTAGGAGGTGAAAGATGAAGAGGCACAGCTTATCCTGAGTGTGAGAGGAAGCCACTGGAGGCATTTATGCCTGGAGGTGACAGAATCAGAACCACACCTGAATAGACTGGGGTGGAAAGGCAAGAAGAGAGGCAGGGAGGCCCATCAGTAAGGTGTTCATTACATTGATTCAGTTCAGAAATTATGGTGAGGCTGAAGTTGGAAAATCATAATTTTGCAGCCATCATAATAAAGACTGGATGAGGTACACACCACCAGTGGGTGCGAATCTAGGGAGAAGTTTTGAAGGTGAGTCAGAGTCTCCCCACAGATTGCTTATTAGTTGCAACTAAAAAAAAAAAAATAGTAATACACAAAGGATGAATTGGGCACTCCCTGACTGGTGCCCAAAATTGGTGATCAAAATTAACAACACCAGAAGGATAGAGGGTGGGTAAAGGGGGTCAAAAGGTACAAACTTCAAGTTATAAAACAAACAAGTCATGATGATGTAATGTACAGCACAGCAACAGTTCATATCATATTGCATATCTACTCTAAGAGAGTAGATAGATCTTAAAAGTCATCATCACAAGAAAAAAATGTTCTGTAACTATGTACGGGGACAGATATTAACTAGACGTATTATAAATGATCACTTATAGGTGATCATTTTGCAACATACACAAATATAAAATCATTATAGTTGACACCTGAAGCTAATATAATGTTAGATATCAATTAAACATCAATTTAAAAAATTAACACCACCAATTCTGGTGTACCTCCAAATGTGATTCCACTGATAATGTATAACCTGAATTTCACCAGGAGGAAACCTGGACAAACCCAAAATGAGGGACATTCTATTTCTAAAAAGAAGAAAGAAACTATATTCATCTAAAATGACATATAATAAAAAACAAAGGGAGGTTGGACAATGTTCCAGACATTGGCATTGATACTGACTAAAGATACATGACAACCAAACGTAATGCCTGGCCCTGGACTGGATCCTGCTTAGAGGGGAAATGTTATAAAATGATGCACTCTTACTGGTCTCCCACCAAAATTGGAATAGGGGAGGTAGACTGGAGAAAAGCATTGTGTCGATGGTTAAATTTACTGAAATTGCTAACTGTACTGTGGCTTCATAAGAGAACATCCCAGTTCTTAGGAAATAACATACTGAAGTATTTAGGAGTTAAGGGCGATGAGGTAGGCAACTTATTCTCAAATAGTTAAAAAGGGTAGAGGGGTGTGTGTGTTTGTGTGTTTGTGTGTGTGTGTACAGAGTGAACATGCACAAAAGGAATACAATATTAACAAGAGGGGAATTTGTGTAAAGAGTAAATAAAGTTCTTTTATATTCTTAATTCTTGCAACCTATTTGTAACCTTGAAATTAAATCCAAATAAAAAGTTTGCAGGGAGGATACTGAGGGCCCGAACTGAGGCTGCAATGGGGAATGAAGTGGGAAAAGTCTGGGAGACTAGTCAAATTTTGAGGGGACGAGGGAAGGGGACATCTGGAATAACTTCCAAGTCTCTGGTGTGTGTGGTGTGGGTTGGGGCTCCTGGTGCCCTGAACAGAGGCAGAGA